TATATATATTACCTACTGTAAGTATGGGTTACTTAGGTTTCATAATGAAAAAAAAGACTTGGAAAAGTGTTACTTTTGCTGGAGTTTGTTCTTTTTATCTAATTTATTTGTATGTTAGTCCTTAAAAACATCAGAAATTTGCACAAAACTTTCTGCTTTTGTCAGTCTGATGACATCGATTTAAAATGTTAAACCAAATATCTTTTCAAACTGGACGCCTGAATATTACGCAGAAAGCACGATTGGATGTTTATTTTCAGATCTAAAAACTCCATCTCACTTATAAAGCCTGTGTGTGGCCCTGAACGTCTAAAACAACTTGACCCTGAGCTTCTATCCTACTAAAACTATTCATAAAAACAAAAACATCTGGTCACACCCCTGGAGGTGGTTTCTCCTACATCAGCATTGATTTGTTGGAATATAAATAATCATATGTTTACCCTGCTGGAGCGAGGCACATATAAGATGGAGACTTGTTGATTGTCTTCCTGTTTAAAGTAAATGACAAAAACTGATTGATATCCTCTTATCAATCAGTTTCTGTTTCTGTATCTAAAATTCAGTTAATCAATCACAAAATATCCTTCTTTATGATAAAGTCTCTTTATGAAATACTTTTTACTCTTGAGTAATTTCTTGGATAGCTAAATTATACTTTTACTTGAGTAAAAATATGTTGAAGTAGTGTTATTCTTACTGTTGTGTACTCTGTCACCAAGTTTTATCCTATTAAACTGGTTCATTTCAAACAGTTCATAAAATCTTTTTAGTAAATGAAATAAAAAAAAAAACAGAACTGAATCTTTAACAGTGTGAACTCTTCATTTGTACTATTGTAATTCTGACTTTTATTCATTGTTTTAAATCTAACTAGTTCCCCATACTTTGTGTAAAAACATCTGACTCTTTTGGGGGTTGAATATAAAGAAGGGAACCAAACAAACAAAGGCAGGGGGAAGTTACAAAAAGGAAAACTGAAGTAAAGCTCATTCAGCTGTGACAAATATACACACGGTAGTACATTTGTATCACCAGAACCAAATGGACACCTCGGGGTAAACCAAACAATCCTCATCAAAAGCTTTAAATCCTCAAAAGGAAAAACCCGAAGCTAAAAGTCAGCAAAGAACAACACATCTCTGTTTCYAGAAGCAAAACTGGAAACTGATTTAGGAAGAAATGAGCTCGATAATCAAACACGTTGCTTCCCGTTCTACTTTTAGAAACTCTAATAACAAGAAAACTGCAGTTTGAGAGAGACAGGAAATAAATTTTAGTGACATAACATGCCGCTCTGAGATCTCTGAGAAATGATGGGAAGTCGTGAAGAGCTTCACCTGCAGGAGATMTGAGAAAAAACGTTTGCAAAGTTCCAGGTTTACTGCCAATATTTAGACATCATTTGGACTTTTTGTAGAAGAGGGAACCCGAAAGTGTTTGTTTGATTGAAACCCTCTGGTATATCTGCTTCATCCCCACGGTGCTACATTTTAAGTGTCATCTTCTGGGAGAAACGAGGGGATGCTTTCAGTGGAATGTGAAAAGGTAAACTTGTAGGTAATTCTTCCTGACAACACCTCCCAGCTGCAGYTTCTCTCCTGACAGAGAACAGTGCGGTTCACRTCGAGCCCACCAGCCGGGAGCAGACCTTCATCGAGGCCTTCCTGCCTCGTGCTCGTCCTTTAGTGGGAATCATCTGCCAGGAACATTTGGGTCCAGTTGTTTTTCAAGCATCAACACRAACATTTAGCTGCAAAGATCTTACAGCTGTGTAGCAGTGAGAATCATTTAATCATCCTGAGGTAAATCGGTCAGGGAGGTGCAAGCAGTTTAGTTATTTAGCATTTTCAGACCAAAGTTTGAACAAAAATCTGAGCAGAAAACAAGCTGTATCAGATTTGGCAACAGGAAAAGTAATTTAAATGTATTTTCCCCTGCAGCTTTTCAGCTCTTTTGAATCTCTTTGGCTGGTGTGTGTTTTTTTTTTCCGGGCTGAAGCCGTGCAAAGATTTCAACAAACAACCTGCATCACTAATGGGACATGTTGGTCTGGGGGGGCAAAGCATAGTCTGCCCTTGTTTCTTATATTTATTTGATTGGTCAGGAGCTTCATACAGAAGGGGTTTGTAAAAGCTTTGCCACAGTTACCCCCCACCMTCGTAAATGATTAAAAATGTGAATAGTGGTCTCAGGTGTGGGCATTGAATATAGCTGCAGAGCCCTCCAAAAGAAAAAAAAAATTGCACCTTGAGAAAAAAAAATAGACTGAACATCAAACACCCTACATGAGACAAGAATAAAATATTTTATATAAATTGATGCTACTTTTTGTTCTGCATTCATTCAAATTAATAAAAATGTTAAAAATCCAACATATCCAGCCATAATAGAGTTATGAAAATATGTCAAAATCCTTTTTTCAACAGATTGTAAGTTTATCAATGATTCCCAMCAGCTGAAAGCATCAGGTTGACCTTCAGCTGCCTGCAGCGGGCATTTCAGCTGCTCTGCTGCTTTATCAGGATCCGATATTAACTTTAAAAATGACAACATTTGAGCCAATATTGGACCTTATTAAGAGGTCTAACTTCTTGTTTATTGGATTTTCTTTAAGCTTCTTTTTGTTCCTAACTGAGTTGAGTAAATTCAAAGCAATATACCAGTTTTTAACCAAAGAATATGAGCATGTTGCTTTGAATTTACTCATAACATGGTTAAGTAAATCCAACATTTCCTTTTTTGAGTGACTTGTTTTTCATAAAAAATAATGCCACTTATGAAAACTCTTATATTAAATGTTAACTTTGCTATTTTGTGAAATCATGGGACTACTTTCTGTGTTACATTTTACTGAAGTGGCCTTGGTGTGAACAAGACTTTCCCTGAACAACCTACAGGTCTTTAGAAAAAACAGTTTTCTGTGCATTTGGTGCAGGGAAACAGAAGCTCTTGGTGATTTGACTCTGCAGATTGGACATGATAAATGAAAAGTGACAAACTGCAGCGCTGCACACCTACCTCTTATCTTCTGACCAAATTGTTGGTTTTCCGTGAAGGAAATGCGCAGTGAACAGCCTCTGAGCGCCAAAAAAAAAAAAAGAAAAAAAATGGAACAACCACCCATCTACTTCAGAGAGAGAGAGAGGGAGAGAGAGAGAGAGAGAGAGAGAGAGAGAGAGAGAGAGAGAGAGAGAGAGAGAGAGAGA